AAATGTTGTACTATTGTATAGCAACCAAAAGTTTTCAGCCTAAACCTGCCTTTTAACGCCTTGCTGTCCAAGAAATTCTCACCAAATTTCTTACTTTCGACCCGTGAACTCCACTGCCTTCGCCAACCGAATGGAGAGCTCTGATCCCTTCTGGCAGAGATCACACCTGTTCACCGGAGAAAACTTCATGTTCTGTGCTCGCGCCTCCTTCCCGCAGGCACTCCTCTGCGTCCAACAGAACAAATCAGGAATTCCTTCTCTGCCTCTCGCACGAGAATAACTGCCTCTCCAGAGCCGTCGTGCCTCGCCAAACTGCTCAGGTCCTCCTGTTTCGCGAACTCCAAAACAGGGAACTCCCCGAACCCTTCTCTGCGCGATCTCCACCTTTTCCCTCTGGCCGAGCTGCTCGCAAGACCAAACTCCTGCTCTGAAATCCTCTGCTGGCAGCCCTGTCGCAAATAATTTCGGCCCTTACTCGCGAACTGTTCCTCCTCCGTCTCGCCGAACCGCACAACCTACGGTGCAAATCCAGTCGATCAAAGCTTCCACTGCTCACCGAATATGTCGAGATTTGGCTGTCTGCGACGCGATCCGCTTGCTCCTCTGTTCGTGAATGCCGAACTCCTCTTCTTCTTCGCTGACTGCGAACACCTTTACGCGGACACTTTTAGCCAAGAAGTATGGATCTTCCCACAGACGACACCAATTGTTGTGAGATATGTACTTCATGACATAGAAATGAAACGCAAAGAACACAAACAAACACAGATTGTTTACGTGGTTAGATCCAACTGAATCTACATCCACAAGAGGGAATCGATCAAATAGTTCACTAAGACAAAAGAACTGGAGAATACATAGCTTATACATAGAGATGAGCCCTCATCTTCCCTCTATGGCCCCCGTCTCAAGCGACACCTTGATACAAGGTCTTAAGATGTTCTCTGTCTCTCAAGCTCTCTAGCTATTCTCTCCTCCTTTGTGGTAGCTTAAGATCTCTTCTCCCTTGCTCTCCTAAGCCTCCCACCCTCTCTATTTATAGAAGTAAGAGAGTGGTAGGTGGGAGGTAGGTGGGAGGTAGGTGGGCGGTAGGTGGGATGTGGTAGGTGAGCGGTACCACATTACAAAAATGTCATTTTACCTTAGTTCAATAATTGGGGGTCAAAATAACATTAACCATAATAACTTTTTTGAATCAATTAACTGTAGATATCAATTAATACCTGCAAAAATTTAACATTATGAAATTTACATTTGAAGATAAAAAAAAAATAAAATAGGGGCATTTAGAAACATACAACCTGATATGTATTTACATATCTAACACCAAAACTTTACTTTTTACATTTATGCCACACAAATCTTTCATATCACATAAAAAATATCATTATTTTAACTTCTAAAAAGTGAAAATACCTTTTCATGCATAGGATAGGTAGTTTGTACGTAAAAATTGAACTTTTTAGATATGTAAATACAAAAGAATTGAGTGGTATGTATGTAAATCTTCCAAAAAGATACCTACCTGCTCACGGACAAGAGTATTCCCAAGAAAAACAGAACTCCTTGTGTATCGATGCGTGATAAAGCCTGTGGCACCTTCAACTTCTGCCTTTCATCATCCCCATAGTGAATTGCATCAGTCAAGATCCATAGAACTCCCAGACCAAGAAGAGCACCCATGAAAGGTGGAAGCCCAGTTACAGCTTTGAACACAGGAACGAAGAGTAAAGCCCCCACTCCTACTGCAAAAATAAGCTGTCCTCTTGGAGCCATTTTTTCCAACCCCAGTGCAGTAGAATGTTGCCCACTTGCATCATTAACTTCGCTAGCCAACAAGAGGAAGATAATTAAGCTTGCTGCCATGGATGTTCCTTCGAATCTCTCAACTTCGAAAACAGTCACTGATTACTCACCTTGTGAGACACAACAGTGCTAATGGCACAGCTAATGATACAGCAGACGGAATAAACAGGGCCTGAAACAAAGCAGCGAATTATTTGATTAACCAATGACTGAATGTATTTTAACTGGGAAATAAACAATACTGACTATGGGGATATCACAAAAATGAAACAAAATGTCAAAATGGTCTCCAGTCTGTCAGGGGTCATATTAGTCCTGGAGTATAAAAATATCAACTAAGTCCATAGACTCTTTTAAAGGAAGCTAAAATTAAAATGATACGGCGACTAATTTGACATTTTAATAGAATTTTTGGTACTTTACTGCTAGAAAATATTAATAGAACAACCCAAAAATACATGTTCAAATCTACGAACGTGAAAAGTATACCACAAATAACTAAATAAAAATGAAGAATATCAAATAGAATAGAGTGCCTATCTAAACTGACTTTCCGAACAAGGACTATCATGAAAGTTTTAAAAGTCTTCAGAATCAAATAATGCGCAAGCTAGAGATTAAGTTTAGAAAGAAAAAATAGAACCATTAGTGTACCTTTATTGTTGCTAAAGAAGATATCTGTCCATGAATCCAAAGCATGGTTGTTGTGACATCACCAATCGGTGTCCAGGAACCTCCAGCATTTGCTGCTATCACAACAACAGCTCCTAAAATTCTACCAAGTAAAGCCATGAATGAGACTTGTTTTGAAGTTAAAAAAAACCTTGGTAAGAAATTAGGAAGATTTACATACATAACACTTAATTCCTGTGTATTCACACATCTAACACCTGAACATCAATTTTCACATATATACAACCTTATCTTGCATGAAAATATGTATTTCCCCTTTTAAAAGTTAAAATAGTGGCATTTCTTTATGTAATATGAAAGATTAGGGTCGTAGAAAGGTAAAAACTAAAGTAGAAAGGAAAGGTAAAAACTAAAGTTTAGGTGTTAGATATGTAAATACACAAGAATTGGGTGGTATGTATGTAAATGCCCCAAGAGATAATCATCTTTTTACGTCTGTAATGGTAAGTGTTAACTTTGCCAGCAGAAGGCAAAGCACATCCGAGTTTTACTAAAGAAACATAATAGCTAAGGAAGCACAAGAAAAATAAATGAAAAGGAGCCCTTATTGCCATTTAGAAATATGAAAACTGGTGATGGCACAACCAGAGGGAACTATTAGCTAACCAAATATAGCAAAAATATGACAATCAGTTAAGGATACCAATCGGAGCACAGCTATTGATTAATCGGTCCTTCAGTATATGATCTTTAAAAGAGAAAAATGTCAAAATTGTCCGTTGATTGTTTGCAGTCGGTCATTTTAGCCCAAGAGTATATAAAAGTGTCAAATTAGAGCTAATTGGACAGCAGCATTATCAATGCATTACATTCCTAGTATAGGAAATTTACAAATTCAATTGTTTTTTTGGAATAATTTGAAATTTAATGTAAAATAACAATGTATTTCATTTGTTCATTTTCTTTGTATTGAAATTTGTCCGATTTGACCGATTTTCAAATTCACACCCAACAGCCTGCCCCCGGCCACCGCCCGCCTCTGCCAACGCCTTAATTTTACATTGAAATAATTGTTAACATTTAAAAACACAAAAAGAAAATAGCCACTCGTTTATTTTTTTACATTGAAAGATAATGTTCTTCCTATATAATACGAATATAAGTATACCAATGATATTCTTATCTATAATGAACTTTCAGGCTTATTTTTCTAAAAAAAATAAATAAGACATATTTTTCCTTTTTTTTAATATTAAAAAAGCATCCATAAAAATGTCTACCATAAATAACAATTCAAAAGATAGAAAATATGACCCAAAAATATAGAAAAAAGTTCTTAAAAAATAAAATCCATAAAAATCTACAAAACATTAAACATGCATAAAAAAAAGAAAATCTATTTTTGTTCACAACAAACTATGCCCTCCATAATTAGCTTCATGAGGATACTAAATTCAAATCCAACCTAGGCTCATACAACAATCAATATCATATCAAATTATCAATGCTATCAAACATTATGGCTGAAATTCTATGCTCATAGGAATGAGACGCGCACACTAAATAGGTGGTAAACTTGAATGTGGTGATTCCTCTAAGCCAAAATCTATATATTTACCAATGTCATTCATCTAAAATTTTGATTTTATCTCAGACATCTAATAGGACACAAAGTCCTCTGTTAGTCGGAATTGGCTTGCACTTGACCATTTAATTAGTTTCAACCCTAAGTTTATGAAGTACCTTTAAGCGAAGCAACCCTTGATTGCAACAAAGATATTTAAGTCGGTTGGGCTGACTACCTCTAGAAATTAAATAGATTAAGGCTCATAAGCTGCCGAGAACGACTGAGCAATGGGATCATGATTGAATAAATTATTAGTCCTCCAAATCAAAATGGATCATCCATTCTCCTGAACCAAGAGGACTTTTGCTGCAACCAAACTACGAGAGAAAAAAAAGTAAGCCCTAATCTAAATTTATCACCCTTATCAAAGAGGTAATTAGATAATAGAGAGTTGCATTCATAGAAAACTTTTGAATAAAAAAAAAGTCAGCCCTAATCTAAAATTTGTCACCCTTATCAAAGAGGTAATTAGATAATAGAGGCTTGCATTCATAGAAAACTTTTGAATAAAAATAAAATAAAATCCTTGTGAAAAGATAAAATCATTGGGTAATGATTTATCATTCTTTCAATTGTCTCATATAAAGAAAATTCAGCCTCGCCCAAACATGTCAGTTAAGGAAACATTTTTTCAAGGCCCACCTCTCTCTCTCTCTCTCTCCCTCTCTCTCTCTATCTCTCTCCCCCCTGTCTCTCTCTTTATATGTATTTAAACAGTCTGAGAAATGTCAAATTTCCTGCAAATGAAAATAAGAAATAGATGACGAGAACATGAGGGCTGGACCATTTTGATAGTACACCAATTAAATTTGGGATTATCCAGAACAAAAAAAATGCATCTCTTCTTCTTCATTGAAAGTTGATGAAGAAAAACAGATAGAGAGTACCCTAGAACATGTAAAAAGAAAAAAATAAGCATTGCAAAGAATCAAATTTTCTGTAACTTAAAGTGAAATCAGAAATATATTTACAATAGAGATCTGAATGGTACAATCAATCCAATTAAATTGAATTCAGCTAATTCAGTGATAGAAATTAAAAAAATTACGCAAAAGAGAATTCTATACCTTCTATATTCCGACGGAGGAACTAATTTCCGCAAAAGAGAGACCATAACAATTGTTGAGGTTAGATTGTCAAGAACAGAACTAAGGAAGAAAGTAACAAAACCTACCTGGAAAATGTACCAAATACATGTATAAAAAATGCAAATTCAGATTTCTCTAAAAACATAGCGCAAAATTCTGTTTAGCAGAACCAAAAACCGTACAAGTACTAAGCATTGAAGTTGCAGGCTTAAGAAAAATGATAGATGCATATGAAAATCCATGTAAAAAAGGGTGAACTTCATTTACTAATTAAGAATAATTTTAGAATAATACATAGTTAAAAAAGAAGACTATCAGCAAATTGACTAATTTTAGTTACAGATAACTGAGCAAGTCATTATAATATTAATAATAATACAGCTTTGCATCTATTAGAATCCATTTATTTACAAAAACAATGGTATAATAAATGCCCAATTTTGAATCAAACTCTTGACATATGGCTCTGAAAAATCTTAGTTCGGTTTAGGGTAACATATGTCAATCAGGAAAGACGGAAATCAGACAGCTAAATTAGGAGTTCTCTATAATTAAGAGCTTCCTTATTTAAATTATTTTCAATGTATTTATTATGATTTATTTCCCTTTTAGCTGAATGTTTAGATTAAAAATATATATTATTAAGTTACCTAAAATAGATTATGCATTTTATTTTGTACCAAAAATATATTGTAAGATTATTATTTAATAGAATGAAAGCAAAGGGAAAAGGAATCGTGCCTATTCAGAATTCAACCTATTTTTCTCAAAACTTTGACATGGTATCAGAGCCAAATTTTTGCCTTAACCACTGATAATTGTTGGAGTACCGTCAAGACTCCCTTCCCGCCGGCCTTCTTGCAGGACGGGAAGGGATGGGAAGGGAGGAACTATTTATTTGTCTTGATTCTTGCTCTTCTACTCGTCGTCTTATTATTTCGTCAGATCTCCTTTGCTAGTCATCGCTACTTCTGTTGCATCTTCGACTGCTTCGTCCATTTCGACTTCAGCTTCTTTGTCGCACTCAAGGATTGAAGGCTTCAACACTCCTTTCTAGACTGACGGCTTCGACAATCTCGGCTTCGACACTCTTGGCTTCGGTACTTTCGGGCTTCGGCACTCTCTGGCTTAGACACTCTAGGGCTTCGACACTTCAGATTTGACCCTCTCAGGCTTCGGCACTCTCAGGCTTCAGCACTTTCGGCTTCGACAGTCACTGTTTGAGGATTTTTTGTCCTGACAATGTTATCAGTTTCTTGTTGGCAAATTGATGTTTCTTGATCAGTCAACATCAATTTGAGGGAGGATGTCAATCAGAAAAGACAGAAATCAGGCAGCTAAATTAAGAGCTTCCGTATTTAAATTATTTCTAATGTCTTTATTATGATTTTATTCCCTTTTAGTGGAATGTTTAGATTAGGAATATCTATTATTAAGTTACTTAAAATAGATGATGCACTTCATTTTGTACCTAAAATAGATTGTAGGATTATTATTTAGTGGAATGAAAACAAAGGGAAAAGGAATCGAGCCTATTCAAAATTCAACCTATTTTTCTCAAAACTTTGACAACATATTGATCATGATATCACTTTGTTAACAAGGTACCTTTCTTGCTCCCAACTTATAAATATTACTGGAAAGCTACGACTAAGCAATACAAAAAAGCAAGACAAAAGAAATCTGCAGCTGTTAATGGCAAACAAATATAGCTATATTTCTTCGAAAACAAAGTTGAAGACAATGACAAAAAATTTTCATTACTGTGCAGCTCAAACTTCTTACCAAATATAACGTTTACAAGCCGTTTTCTATTCATAAACGGCTAGTAAATCCTACAAGTCTAAAGATGCAGTTTGCAGCATATTCCAAAAGCAGAGTTTGCAGCATATTCCAATCAGGGAGAGCTCTTAATGAATTTCAAAATTCACATTCTCATCATTTCCATGCTAATACTATCATAACCAAAATTAAAATTTTAAGAAATTGTGGTAACCTAAGACTTTGGTTAGTCAATAAAATAATTATCTGGAAAAGTTTAAAACCCAAAATCTAAGTCCAATAAAGAAAAATTGAATTATATAAATATATATATATATATATATATATTCATCATTTATGAAAATTCTAAAAAGTAAATAATGCTAAGAAAACGTAGTATTAATAGAGTAAGTACCCACCACCCAAAGCAAGATTCGAGGATTTCGTGTTGCAATGTTGTCAGTAACCAACTTAAAACCTTGATGTGCATCAATAATTTCCACTATAGTCATTGCACCAAGCAAGAAAAATACAATTTCACTCACTTCAGCAGTTGCTCTTGTCAATTCAGTAATAGCAATATCTGTTGAAGGAGCCTGCATCGCAATGGATATCATAAAGAAACTGCAAAAAACTTAGGAAGATTTGCATACATGCCACTTTAATTCGATGTATTTACATATCTAACACCTAAACTTCAATGTTTACATATAAGCCAACATACCTTCGCAAAAAAAAAAAAAAAAATGTATTTCACTATTTAAAAGTTAAAATAGTAGTATTTTTTATATGAAATATTTGGGTGGTAGAAAGGTAAAAAAGTAAAGTTTAGGCGTTAAATATGTAAATAAATAAGAATTGGGTGGTATGTGTATAAATGCCCCATGACATTATATCAAACTAACAACAAGAACAGGAGGTTGGTTTAAATCAATCATTATAAAAGAGCTGAAATCCTGACTCAGCTGTTGTTAAACAAATGGCATAATAACTCAGAATAGTTTAGCTTATGTAACATAAAGTGAATCTTTCCATAATATTAGATTTTAATGGAAACCATTCTGATACATATTTTGTCAAATTTGAATCAAGGTTAGTCCGAGGGGGGGTAAGAGAGACGGAAGGGGGAAGGAGTTAAAAACTGCAGAGAGCAAGAAGGGGACAGTGAGAGACAAGAAAAAAAGAGAGTGAGAAAGAACCCACCGAGGGAGAGTGAGAGAAAGCAAAGTGAAAGAGATTGAGAGATTTAGAGAAGCCACATGTAAAGGGAGCAGGAAGTGTCTCCAGAATGAAGGATTTGAAGCGTGAACATTTATTTTCTTCTTTACCTCATTTTGAATCAATTGAAAGCCTAAAATAAAATTATTTTGGGTTCCTTTTATAAACTCAATTAGAAACCCAAGGTATATTTGTTAAATTTTTTATGAAATTTTGGTTAGAATTTTACGTGAGGAAAGAGAAAGGAGCAAATCTCGTGAAGAAAAATTAGTGGAAGCGTAATCATGGATAGAAATTTTCATTCAATGAAATCTGATGTTTGTAAGAAATATTAAAAGTGCAATTTTATTTAGAGCTTTATGTAAGATTAAGTTAAATGCCTAAAAGTTGAAGCAAATATTCACCAATTATAAAATTTAATTAAATAATCAATGAAAAATTGTAATATCATAATTCATAATTATAATTTTGTCTATGAAAGAGAACTTGCCTTGCAAGAATGAAAATTTGCAGAAATAAGATATGATTCATATAAATAAAAGTATTTAGTTATATGAACTATAACTATAAAATTCAAAAAAAGAGTGTATGAAATGTACCCCAATACTTCTGATAACCCACAAGCACACAGCCATCAATAATCCTACTCCACTTTTGTTGAATGCTAAAGATTCTTCAAAAATTATGCCTGCATAACCTAGCACAAACGCCAAAGCCATGGCAGTATCCTGTATCATAAGATTTCCATCAGAAAATATTTATGGTAAAAGAAATTTTACATAGAAATGGATGACTTCAAATATATTGCATGGCCAAGGTTACAAGACTTTGGGCCCCTTTGGTTTGCTGAAACAGAAATTCAGTGTAAAAATAATGTATTGTACTTATAATACCTTGAAGTTGTTTGGTACAATGTAAAATAAATAAAGATTTCATATTTTCTTGTTTCGTTTGAAGAAAATAAAATCTATATAAAATATATAGCCAATGGGGACAGGCCGCAGCGGCAAGGTGGCAATGGCAACCGGTGGCAGGCTAGAGGACGGGAGTTGGCCGGCATCAATGGAGGCTAGCAAAACTTTATGCAAAATGGTGTATTTAGAATTCACACAGATCCAACAAATTCTACAGATGTTGAAAATGAAGGAAAAAAATGAATTCTAAATACATTATAACTTTACACTGCATTTGGAATTCATCCAACCAAACACCTAAATTTCTAATACTCTTGCAAAAGAAATGTAGCGCACTCCTTTTGAAGAAAAACAAAGAATCCCCTTTAAATAAGCCCCCAAATAGAAATTCTCTCTGATTTGGCAAAAGGGCTAATAAAGAGCATTTTATTTAAAAAAAAAAGGTTAATAGGGTTAAACCCCACCTGATTTGCAGCCACCCAGGAATGATTAATAGCAGTGGCCCCTGCCAGAGCCAATATAAGAATGGTAAGAGCTTTTAGTAGATCAGGCTTGGGCTGGTAATTAGCTTTGAAATCCTGCGAGCTTACTTCATCAACCGAACAGAGGGGATCACATACTCCAGAACCATCCATGAGCTCCTATTTATTTGCATAAGTTCACATTATCTCTACATAAAATATTAAAAGAAAATTTACATACGTAGCACAAAATTCTCATGTATTTACATATCTCACACCGAAACCTTCATATTTACATACAAAGCACTTTGGCGCTTGAAACATATGCATGAAACGGTGGATTTTAAAAATAGTAATAATGCTATTTTTTTATGTGATATTAAGGATTTGATCCAATGTGTGTAAATATAAAAGTTAAGGTCTATGACAAGTAACATAAGAATTGTGTGCTAGTGTATGTAAATGCCCAATACTACAATAATGAATGAGCGAAAAATGTGAGACTGTGTTCCTACAACTTAAGTGCAATATAGCATTTTTATAGAAGATCATAAAACTATAACTTGTCATAGAAAGACGATATAGTCGAGCTTTGATCAAAGTCCATGTCTAACTGATGATGAAACATTAATAAAATTCAATATGTGCTCGTTCCACATACTTAAATGCTCCATCTTTGCTTCAACACTTATGGAAAGCGTTTGATTCTCCTAAGAAAACTAAGATTCCTCTTCTAATGATCCATCCAGATTAATTAACACTTTCTGAACATTTGATTAATAAAGATGGCATTCCTATATAACAGAAAATGGGGCTTGACACAATATATAAACGAGTACACGAAAAAAATAGAAAAAATAAATAAAGATCTCATACCCCGGAGATGAGAATGAAATTTATCTAAATAGATATATTAGAATGATTTCTTGTCTGTGTGTCCTCATCTTAAATTTAACAAAGTGGTGCATGCGTGAAAATGAAATATACTATATTTATCTGAAATTAATCAAATAATCTGAAATTAATCAAATAATATATATATATGTAGGAGTACATCAAATGGCAAGGATATAAGAACAAAGTAACCTAAAGAAAACAAAAAAGTTTGACAGTTTAAAATAAGATTTATTCAAGATATACTATAAAGTCAAACAGGTATATATTTCCATTCACATCAACATTTATAAATGTAAAGATGGTGTGCACTAGAGTGCCCAAAATTCTGATATTGTGTTCTATAAGACACAAACCCACTAGAATTGAATGTGCTCCTTATTATTATTATTATTTGGAAGATTTACATACATACGACTTAATTCATATTGATTTGCATATCTAACACCTAAACTTCAATTCTTACATATCTACAACCTTATCTATGCACAAAAAGGTGTATTTAACTTTTTAAAAACTATAATAGAGATATTTTTTTATGTGGTATAAAAGATTAGGTTTGTATAAATGTAATAAATAAAGTTTAGGTGTTAGATATGTAGATGCATGGGAATTGAGCGGTATGTACGTAAATGACCTTATTTTTATTAATACAGTTGTTGTTGTTGTTGCTGTTATCAGTATTATTATTATGCAGAGTTTATTATAAGCGAAAATTGAACTCAAGAGCTTTGCAACAACTTCAAAGGTCCTAATTAACTGGACAAGTTGGCAGTCAAATGTTTTAAAATGTAGGACCGTTAAGTTCTAGTAGTATATCATAACGGCTCTCAAGGGCTGTCAGGTAAGGGATTTAAGATTTAACTTAAATAAGCCTGATAGAAATAAAAAAAAGGCAAATTTTAAAGCCTGGATTTAACAAATCCACTTTCTTCTCAGTTTTGTCTCAACGACCGGATGGACTAAATACTGTTGTTGGCAGGATTTAGTAAATCTGGATTTACTAAGATTGTTAAGCGACAGGCCCTAAAAGTATTTGCTTTTCTTAATTTAGGATCATTTGGCTCTAGTAATCTGGTTCAAGATCATTTGTATCAGTGGACTGCTGCTTAAACTATAGGGTCGTTCTAGAGGACTGATGTGTTATATACCAATCATCAAGATATACTTATGAGGGAAACAGAGGCATCCAAAGGCTCTGAAATTGTTCATTTTTTTCAGCTATTAGATCCCTGATTTCTCCTTCTAAATTGGAGATAGAAAAAAAAAAAGAAAAAATTATTTGAAGCACAGCTTCTGCACTAATCTTACACATCCCCATGTTGTAATGATAAATGCTTAATCGCTCTCAAGCTCAATTTATCACATCAATTCACTAAAAGAATGCAATATTAAAACGGTAATTGCCAGAACGAAAATGGATGATGAAGAAGAACCTTGTACTCTCCACCGCCGACAGCAGTTTTCCCTCGCTGAAGAGGGAAAGAACCTTTGGCTTCCTCCTCCGCCCCCACGGTCACGCTGGCGCGCTGCCTTCGCTGGCGACACAAGGAGAATGCCGGTAAGGGTGGAAAACGGGGGTAAATTTGAAGCTGAAATCGCGCGATGTGGAGAGATGAAGTGCAGCAGGTTGCCGCTGCAGGGCTCTTTATGGAGACTGAGCGTTGTGGGGATGGGCATCCGAACGAGCAGGAGGCGGAGAAGGCCATTTCCGAGAGAGATGGAGGGAGCCCGAGTGTGTTTCCAGCCTCGGTCCGTGCGATACCGATTTACATACAAACCACGCAATTCTTGCGCATTACATTGCAAGTCAATTTCAAAATTACATATATATATAGTAAAATGATAAAATAATCACGACTGTTTCTATTTACATGGGATCATTTTAATTTAGAATTTATAAAAATGATCAAATAATTTCTGATTATTTTAAAATTAATTTCTAATAGTGTCCTATGAAGATTATTTCAACCTTAATTTAAATGAAAAATATTTTTTTAATTTAAAAAAAAATAATATTTTTAGTTAGATATGAATGATTTGAGTAGTGCAAATGTGAAAAGTAAAGTTTAGCTGTTAGATATTTAAATACATAAGAATTTAATAATACTTATTATTCAGGTAAATCTCTATCTTTGGTACTATTGACTTAGAGATTGTTCTTGAACCACATCCAAGAAATAGAATGTAAATGAAGAAAAAGGGAGAGAGATAAATATTGATGAATAATGTTAATTTTTCATAAAATGCTTCTTTTAATTATAGAAAAAGTAGTACAATAATGATTTCACATTTTTACACCCATTTAGAGAAGGTCAGTACTGGGATATTTCTATCATCTTACAAGCATTATTTTGTCGTCTGGTTGCTTTCTGATTCGGCCTTCCAAGCTTAATTGATTTTGCTCAACTATGTCAGCTCAATCGGTTGAGTTTAGTCAGTAGTGTTTGATTAGCTGATTCAGCCTAGTTGACTATCTTCAATCCTCGGTAACGAGTCTTTGATTCTTTCTTGGGTTGTCAGAGAAAATTTGTTAAATTGGCTCATCAATTGGGCACCTCCACTAAAGGACGGACTATTGCATCAAGTTAGCTTTTCCTACAATGGATGGCTCAAACACTACACTTAAATTACTCACCCAACTTCTTGTTTAGCCTTTTGGCATGTTGGGATTTGGCCTAGTTGATTTGGCTTCGGTTCGACTGGTTAGATGGGCCTCAAGATCTCTTTGTAGTGGATCTACCTCCATCGCATCATTTTTTTATTGAATTGTTAGATCTTTGTAAGATCTGTGCAAACAGCTTTTTGATATAAACATATCATTTTATTTTCAAGAGGATTCCCTTTTTATTCTTATAATAAATCATAAAAATAATTATTTATTAATGTTGCTCACTTGCTCTTATATTTGATTCAAATTCAAGCATAATACTGAAGTCATAAAAAATATTACAGTATTTTTTTTTGAGTGTTTTATTCATCAGTGTTATTTTGACCCCTAATTATTGAACTAAGGTAAAAGGACACTTTTGTAATGTGATACCGCTCACCTACCACATCTTATCTACTGCTCACCTACCGCTCACCTACCTCCCTCTCTTACTAGGATGTTGATAGATTTGAAAATAGCAATGTTTGGAGTGCTTTTTTAATAACTTATAAAATAATGATGCAAAAGATGTAAATTCATAATATAATAATTTACCTAAAATTTAATAAGCCTATAATTTTAAATGCAAATGTGGAATCTTATATCATTGTTCATGGCAATAATTAAATAGCTCAATGTGGAAGAAAACAAGAGGGGGGGAAATATTTCAACTAATATCTACAATTTAAAATCCTTGGTCACGATACATTAAAGAGCAATGCTGACTGAGTAGATCCCAACGAGCAATGTGAGTCAACACATCAAGATCAACGCTAGTATGACTACACTAAAGATCAAAGGGATCTAACTTGAGTCATTTTTCATGTTACGGGTCCGCATTTAAGAATCTCTCATACTATTTTAAACTTGTTAGATGTAACATCTCCTTTTATTGATCATAGTAAGATGTATATAAATGAAACTCTCTCATTTCTTTATAGTTATATCATTCTACCTCTCCTATAAATGAAATAGATAGGTCAAATATGAGTCAACGTGTTTGTATAAATTCTAAGACATTTGATGTTATAGCAGCTTTAATTCACAGTATGCACATATTAACAATCTTATTTGCATATTATAACATATGCATTTTGTAACAAGGGTTTAGGAGATGAATTTCTCTATGGAGTTGAGTTATTTATTAATATCGCATGTTGGCAACGATTTAGGAGGTAAGTTATGGATTTCTTATTTTGCAAATTTGAACTCTTTTTTTTTTTTTTTTGAGACTTTTGTACTTTAATTTCTCTTTTAATCAAGTGATCATGTTGGAGCGTTCAAGCATGTTTAGTGAGCAATTCTCTCTCTCTTCCTTGGGATGGGGAAATAGGAAAGATGTATGCGAAGTTTTATTTATGATTTTGTGTTTACTATTGTTGGATGATGATTAAGTTATCGTACTTAATTTACATTTCATTTTGACTAAGTGTGATACTAATATTTGTTGAGTTATAAATCTCAAAAGAGGTGATAATGAAACCAATTAAGTTAATTACATTAATTTAGTGGAATAGAGATATATCTACTAAATTAATGCAAACTTAATGGAAGTTAGTGATGAATATGTTAAAAAATTGGAATTAGGGAACTAATCTGATTCTTAGCAATACTTTTTTATTCCACCGGAAGGGGGTAAGGAAGAGAATAGCTCTTGTTTGTTGTGTATATTTGATAAATTTTGACATAAATTGACTTATTGAATCATTCAAAGGGAGAACTTTAATAATTGAATAATTTTTCTCTTTCTTTGTTGATAACTTTAGACTTTCATATAGGACTTTAATAAAATCAACATTTTAGACTATGCACAACATTAATAAGTTAATACTTTTACAATTAGAATTCATCTCGATCCTTGTGGAATCGACAACCACTCCAACCCCGTTGCTACTAATATGTCACATATACTTGCGTGAGCCGCCTGTGCTTCGGAGCACCTGGTGCGAGTAAGAAACCATCACACATTCTTCATTAATATGCATGGGAAGGACGCCCCACCTTTATTATAAGCATAAACATTCATTTAACCAAAATACTAAGCAACATAATGAATGCCATCTTCCAAAGTCTTCTACAACTAGTTTAGTGGTGATCACTAAACAATACAACTATCATAAACAACTATAAAACTAATATATATAATATAAGTACAAAATGATTGTGAATTGTATGATAAAAAATCACAAACAAATTTCATATAAATTGAAAAGAGAGATCACCAAAAGTAGAGGAATCAACTAGCTAATTTTTCTTTTGGACGAACACTTTGGAATCTTCTCAGAGAAGATGAAGTTTAAAGCATAGTTTTTTTCTCCAAAATATTAGAATGATCAATATTTATACTACACACTAATTAAGTGGAGATTAAGGGGTAACGTATGATTAATCCTCTCTTAGCTTTAATTTTGAAGCTCCTTTGAAATGCAGGCATAAAAAATCTATATTTATTAGTCTATTTTTACTTTCTAAGCTTTGTAAGTAAGGATCAGTCCAATCCAAAGAAGAGCAATAAGAGCTTCAATCCAAAGTACTGAAAATATTAATTAGTGTGATTAGTAGAATAATTAGAGAAACAATACCTTGCTTTGAATGCTTAATCTCTCCATGCAACACGTACATTTGCATGCAAAACATATAAATATTACAAAAGCACCCTCCTTATTCTTTAACGAACAGTATTAACCAAACGGTTTTATAAATCAAACCATTTTGTAAATTACTCTAATGATCAAGCGTATGACTGAATAAATAATTTCCCCTCACCATAATAATATTAATAAATTTTCTGCTGAATCTTCACGGAGCTTCAGTTGCAGGCATACTTGATCACACCTGGAATGTGAATGCTGTAAAAATACTCATCCCAATCTATTTTCTCCGGATCAAAATAAAATATTTGATTTTCGGCATGCTTCTTTGTCGCCATTCTCAGTCTCTCCAAGTTAAAATCATCAAAACTGCACCAAAGTTATCATCTCATTTAAACAATATAATGTTAGATATACATATATATGGTGTCGAAATAGCCTCCAATTATTTGCATGAGACCTAATTGTTAGAATCAGAGTTTATAAAAGTGTCAACATAGCATCCCAAAATCTTTAAATAGGGGTTGAAATAGTCATAATGAAGGACTATTAGAGCTCAATTTAAAAATAATCGGGAAGTGCTATTTCACTTCTATAAACTCTGGAACTAAAAACTCCATGCGACTATTTTGGCACTTTACTCTGTGTGTGTGTGTGTGGTGAGCGTGTGGGCGTGTGTGTGTGTGCCGCGTACCCCGCCTGTTGGTTGACATCCAAGATATAAGACCCCTCAGGTTGGGGGTTCGAATCCTCTCTGACATGATTGGCCTTAAGGAGATGGCGTTTGAATTATTAGACACATTTGGGGTGGTTGGAGGCGTGTATAATAGCCTCTAACCATTACTTTTTAAAATGTGTATATATATATATATATATAGGATTTATAAAAACAAATAAAATGGACATACCATCCCTTGAAGAAGCAATAAGGTATGTAGAGATCAATGAGAAACATCAAGAATTTGTACTTTCTGCTGAGCTCGTTGTATTTTTTTAAGAACATGCAACAAAATATGATATTTACCAAACGCAGCATCTGGAAGCAAAAATAAAATAAAGTTTATTGCGAGGGTATATATATAATAATTAACGATGGGACTGAAAAAGGGTAAAGAAGAAGACAGACCTCCAATGGCAGCCAATATCGAAGGAACAAGAATATTCGAAAGAAGGCCAATTTTTTGAAGATGGGAAGTTTTCTTAGGCGGATTTCTTTGCCATTCTTTCCAATTTGTGGGTTTTTTGAAAAATAACGGTACCCACATTGCTCTAAAATTGAGTAATTGACGGGATTTCTTACAGATGAGCTTATATGATAGATGAATTCTCCTTGCTTGTTTGAATGTGCAACAACCATTGCTATCATAGCATTTGCAACCATATCCCCAGGAATCTGCAATTTTACATAATTATTTAGCCATAATTAGTATTTTCAACTTAATTTCATCGATATTAAAGCCTTGTAAATTTAGGGATGATGAAATACAGAGCACCTGGAACATTGATATTTACAAATCAAGCATGGACCCAGGAATTTTTTTGAGGTATCGAAACGATGCATTTACGCATGCCATCCTCAAACCATTGAGAATTTGATAAAATGAATAATAAGGGCATGAATTTTGATGTTTGAGTGAGAATTTGAAATAAGGAGATCATTTCATAATAGGGAGATTATTTCATAATTATATTGATTTATATTTATAGTTTCTGATAAAATTATGAACATAATGCCACTGTTTAGACTTATATATGGATTGTTAACTATTGCATTTTTAACATATGGTTACATAGCCATATGAATTAAAAATGGCTTTTATTTATAGAAACATTAATCATAATTTTTCAAAAGAGAAGCTAAATGATAATAAAATTTGACTAAAAGGTTAATGTAATTTGATTTAATAAAAACCAATACTTAATCACTTATAATTAGCTTTAATTCAGGGCTAAAAGACGAAGTTGTTCTCGTTCCATAATATGATTAAGCATGTTTTTCATTATTATACGTGTCATGAATCCTCCTGATGTCTAGTATTCGGGAGGTAATATTTTCTCCTTCAATAGAGTAATAACAAACATATCACACAATTCTCAACGCCTAAGCTTTAGTGCTTATATTCATATTGTGGGCTCTAAAAATTAACAACAACTCCCCGTGAGCTCTTTGTATTTTGTTTTAAGCGAACATTGAAGGGTCCAATTTTCAGAAGACAAATTGGATTGTAGATAAGACACTACACAGAGATTTCACCTTCATTTTGCGAGGACTTTTTGATATGGGATTTGAGGTTCCCATAAGTGCAAGTCACTATGGTTAATTACCTCTCCCGATAGGAGGAGGGCACTTTCGATTAAGACAAGCCATTAAGATAAAAATTCATAAGAATTGTGCGGTACATATGTAAATTTACTTACTTTAGCATGTGGTAATTTTAAAAATTAAGATAAAAAATATATATAGACAGCAAATAGGACTCACCACATCCATTCGAGAATTAATATCTGCAACAAAGCAAGGAAGTGTCCCTTTTGCATAACCGACTATTATGTTGTCAATTGTTCTGCAATTATTATTGTAAAAGACAAATCATATATGATCTTAAATTTAGTTAAAAAAAATTGCAATATTACATATATACCAAATTATAATTTAATGCAAATTATGGTTTGTTTGTCTTTACCTATTTCCTTCAATCCAACCGGGAAATGGCTCCTTCCATGTACTAGTTATAATTGTTGGGCGAGCTATAACAAGGGGCATGTTCCCTCTTAGCTTCCCAACCATCATCTCACCCATTGCTTTTGTGAACACATACGTATTTGGCCACCCATAATGTCGAGCTCTTCAATCAAATATATATATAAAAAAATATTTGTAATTACATCATTATATGAAAAGAGTTAATATGACCGATAAATAATATTTTGTTACTCCCAATTAAATGTATATTTATATTTCAAACCTTTCAATGCCGAGCTCTTTCATGGCCATTTTCTCGGCTCCCATAGTCGTGTTGCCAGATCGGAGTTCTTTCTTTCGTCTTTCGACCAGTTCTAACTCGGATTCAATGTCTAAATACATATTGCCTTTGAGTGCTTCCCCCATGCTGAAAGCCTTCTCTAACAGCACTCCCTCCTTTTCTCCAGTTACATATGCTGAAATCGTTGCAATAAAATATTTTCATAATGTAATCATTCTTGAAGTGATGTGATAGATGTGTATTTACCAGTCGAAACATGGAGAAAAACCTCAAGTTTGCTGCACTTTTTTGCAAAATTCATGGTGTGTTTTGCGCCTAAAACATTAATATCCAAAGCAATATCATACCTGCAAAATTAACAATTTCACATATCAAATGCTTTTTAAAATTTGAAAGACAGAATGAATGTTCAACAGATATTGTATGCAAATCATAGAGTGCAATAATAACAATAACATTTTAAAAAGAGCATTAATATAAATGTTAAGGATTTGATTGGGATGCATGTTTATATAAATGGATAAGAATTGTGCAATATATATATGTAGATGCCCCCTAAAATGTAATTAAAATGGTAATTAGTTTAATTACCTGACATAAAAATTGGTTGTGGCAGCTACATGGATGACCATGTTGACATTCTTCCACAATAGTTCTCTCATATTTATGTCTTCTATTCCCAAATTGTGATGAATAATGTCTCCTGGAACTGCACAGACCTTCTCTGCCATAAATGAATTGAATTCCTTCCCATGCTCTTTTCTCAGAATATCAAATAATTCCTTTTCTATCACCTAAATTTACAAAAAAATAAAAAATAAAACATAATTAATGGTTTGTATAATATACAGTTTTTCTTCCTAATAAATTATGAACTAATTATATTAATATTTTAAATATAAATAAATTTGTAAATATTTATAAAATATTAAATTTATGCAAAGATTAAATGCATATGTATAAGAAAATTATGTCATTTTATTGATATTTATTTATTTATTTTATGTAAATATTTTTTAATAAATTTTGTACATTTTAAAATCTGATCTTTAAAAATTGAGCATATTTTATTCCCTTTATGCTCTATTTTCTTACCGTGTAACTATTATTTACTAATCATATAGTACATAAATATACAAACTTATATGTTCAATCATTTAACATTAATGTGATATTTTAACATCAAATATTAAATACAAAATATTGAAGCATTTTCACCAAACAATAAAGCTTTTAAAAAATTAAAAATGTCCAAAATAGTTTTAATTGACCCTACTGTTACACTGTGCCATCTCAATCAATAAATGTTTACAGAACAACCATAGGAGGAAAGATTCTAGAAAGACCGAATGGAAGAGTGCAACCCGAATGACTCTATAAGACTCCACCACATTCTAGAGCGTTAGAAAGAAAAGATCCTTAAAAAACTCAAGAATAACATTAGAAGGATATAAGGCTATGTACATATGAAAGAATGGTGTAGAATTATCTAGAAAATTTACTATTCTAGAATAAACTCTTAGGCTTGGAGGGGACTATAAATATGGTCCATCCCCCTCATTTGGATCCATCCAATGATCATAAGCATTTAAGTGTTGTAACTACTCTTTCTTAATGAATTGTTTCTTTCTCGAATACTTCTGCCAAACTCTTTAACTTTTGAGAGACTGATTTAATGACAAAGCAGAGTGCTAAAGCGCTGGATATAATTAGGCACATTTCCATTTTATATGTCAAATCTCTTAACATGAGTAAAATAATGTACAACTCCTAAGACTTTTGTCAGACATATTAAATGCAAACTTTATTTTCCTCTCGTACTCATTGTGACTGTCTCTCTCTATTAATTTCACTACAAATTTATTCGGGACATTTACATAGATACCACACAAATCTAATTTATTTACAAATCTAACACTTTAAAAGTCTTACAGTTTTAGAATCATACCAGCCAAGTTTTTGATATCACATAAAGGTACCATTACCATTAACTTTATGAAAGTGAAACACACATTTTGATTCATAGGCAAAGTGATGTTAATGCAAATATCAAAATTTATATGTCAGATATGTAAATGCATCAGAATTTTTTTTGAGATTAGCAAAACCTCGTTTTGGAGACGCTCCTGAGCAGACTTGGCATCACTGGCTCTTACAAGAAGGTAAAGCCTCTTCACCTTCGGCTGAACTCTCAGCACCTTCTCCACAAATACTTCCCACCAAAAACAACATTAGCTTAGCAAATATATATAAATTATATATATATACTAATAATAATTATTATTTACATAACAATATAAAAAGATGTTGAGGAGTTGCAAATAAAATAATAATTCTCACTCTTTGCCAAAAAGCCGGTTGAGCCAGTGATGAGAATACTCTTATCTATCAACGCATCCACCATTCCACCCAACTCCATTTCAAATGTAGAAGACAGCTGAGAGAGAGCGAGAGAGAGAGTATGAAGTTGAGGCCTTGGGGGAACATGGAAGGTGCATGGTAAGATGGTTATATAGAATTTGGGAAGAGGAAGTTGAGGCTTTCCCATATGAGCTTTGGAGGAGATATTTAATGTAATAAATGAATGAGTTGTTGGTTCAATAAAAGCTTCCATGTTCTCTCAGACTGCACCGAATACCCACTGTTGATCAATCTCCTCCCCCCCCCTAAACTTATTACTTATTGCAATATAGGTAAATATATAAATTTTATGCTCCCAAGATAAATGCAGTCTTTTTTTTACCAGATAGAATAGTTAAATGAATGTTGAGAGAAAATTCCTTCACGTGAAATCTAATCTATTAGGTAAGTGTGCGTCCATGGTTGTCATTTTCAAGATGTAAATAATTAATTTTTCACAATTAAAGCCTTCTCAATCATCAGATTTTTCTGTTGACTGAATGTTCACCAATTAATTCTCACCAGCCTATAGAACCACACATTCACCATGAATAATGTAAAGAGAATAATACAAAATGCATCGTATTAGAGTCTCTCCGTACTTTAGAACACTTTATGAAGCTTTTATTGGGGGGTATGTATCAGTTATTGTGATACATATATTGAAATTAAATAAGAGAATAATCTTTGAAGTGAAAAAATAGTACGAGAAAATTCACACTAGAAAATAGTTATAAAGCGGAACACACATATTTACGTGGTTCGGCAAATTGTTTACGTTTACGGAGTTGCAGGGGATTTTACTACTTGAAGAATATACACTAGTCGATCGTCTCGACTTACAAGAAGAATCTCTTATTTCGTTGCTTTTTCTTCTTCTTCTTCTTCTTCTTCTTCTTCTTCTTCTTTTATTCTCTCTCTACACTGAAATACATTGAAGAAACTCTACATCGAGATACACCGAGGAAGATAAACTTACAAGAGAAATAAAACCAATTTATCTTCTGTCACAAGCCACCAAGAAGAAGTCATGAGATCTTCTTTCTTCTTACTTTTATTGCAAGAAACTACTGCTTGCATTTTTCTACCACTTTCTCCCATGGAAATCAGTGAAAGTCCGAAGAAGAACAAAAAAGTTTGTGACTTCTAAATTGAAGAAGAGTCGTGCGTGCGAGGAAACTCTACATCGAGATACACCAAGGAAGATAAACTTACAAGAGAAATAAAACCAATTTATCTTCTGTCACAAGCCACCAAGAAGAAGTCAAGAGATTTTCTTTCTTAAGAAGAAGTCATGAGATCTTCTTTCTTCTTACTTTTATTGCAAGAAACTACTGCTTGCATTTTTCTACCACTTTCTCCCATGGAAATCAGTGAAAGTCCGAAAAAGAACAAAAAAGTTCGTGACTTCTAAACTGAAGAAGAGTCGTGCGTGCGATGCCTTTTATCACGAACATGAAGCGCAAACGGCTAGAGAGTGGTGGGAGATGCGAACGACAGATCGTGGGAACAGTTCGCGCGGAAGGTCGCGACTTCCCACGATCGGGAACAGGGAGGCGTGAGCTGGATGGGGCTCCAACTTAACAGCTTCTTCTTTACTCTACATGACCGAAAACTCAATAAATTCACCATCAAACTTGATCAGTAAAATTGAGGGTTTTCAGTGTCCAATTGATTAACACAATCATAATAAAGATTTATGCGACAAAAGGCAAGATAGTGTTAGGAGATTGCGTACGTAAACATCTAAAACTTAATTTTACATTTTATGTTAATACCACCCAAATTTGATTATTTTTAATTTTAAAAAAAAATAAAATACACCTTTCATGATAAATGAAAGTAAAAAAAATAAATTTTAGGTGTTAGATATACAAGTATCTAAGAAAACATCAGAATCGAGTGGCATATATGTTAATATTTCAATTAAAAAAACACAGTAAATTTCAGTATTAAGTGATGTTATATAAAGAGCAAATTTCTAGTTTTTTTCTTAGAACAAATATACAAAAAAAGTGGCAAATTTAACGTGTCAGCATATTAAGGTTTCTTTCTTTTTTTTTTCTTTCCTTAAAAATTGAGTGGTATTATGAAAAAAAAAGCGCAAAATAATCTGATTAACTATTTAGTTATGATGGCCATAGAAAATTAAATATATTTAGATTTTAAATACACCATAATTTTTTATTAATTTTAATAAACTTCAGTCATCTAAGAAAACCATATACATATATATATATATATATATATATATATATAATTCAGGAAGTAAAATACTAATAGCTATTCAACAGGTCGCCTGTTCATAAAATGTTGGCAGCCATAAATCAATAAATTCCTCCATGTGCAGATATGGGAAAGTTTGCTGCCTGTTGTTGAATCCTGAAATCACATCCCATAGAATAGATGGAGAGAGAGAGAGAGAGAGAGAGAGAGAGAGAGAGAGAGGCAGTTAACAGTAATGAAGAGGAAGTGTTAATCTTGTCCGGCTTTTATTGGTTGTCTATTCATTGTACATGAAATGATCTCATTATTTATAGGAGAGATGGTACAATATCATAATATTATAGTTCTTGCCCCTGCTTTTGATGAGAGCTGTGTAGAGTATTCTTGGTATTTCAATGGTATGAGCTTATCGCTTAACTACTCTCTGCTTGATTAGTAAACTGAGATAAAAAAGTTGCTAGTCGGCTGATCTTGATTAGCTTTGGGTCCGTAGGACTAATTCGATCGGTTAGACTTTACAGATCAGTTGATTTGATTTGACTATCGACTCTTGATCCCTGATAAGGAGCTTCTTTCGGCAGAGCGATGCTAAATTACCTAGTGGAGGGATCGTGAACCGAAAAGTAGTCCTCTCCTCAATGAGGAGAGCCCGAGGGATGTATGTGAGACTCTTTGTTGCATTTTTAATTCTTGAACATTGATAAGGAGCCTCGGGGGTGTTTGTGAGATGATTGATGATATTTAGGAGCTTGATCTTTCCTCAGGCCAGATCCATCGGATGGTAGGTTGCTGCATTCGTTCAACTTTCTTGTACTGGTTGACTTGAATATATATTTTTTTCATTTATGATCAAACGGCTCAGATTCGATCACCTTCATTACTCGGTAGATTTTGGCCTTGTTTTCTCTGGGCGGCTGCATCTGATCCGATAAGTTGGTCTCCTTGTCTTCTGTAGGTGAGCTCTTCAAAATAGATCACCTCCTGTTTGAATCGAGTCAAACACGAAAAAAATTTTAATCTCAAATTATGAATGAATCTAACATGAACTATTGTATTTGATCTCGTTTGGCTCATTTAAGAACTGTTGAAAGATCTCGAAAATACTAATGATTACATTCTATATTTGTTATAACTCTATATTTAGAGGGTTATAAATTATATGAGCGATCTTGGGAATCTCAATTTATTTCTCTCCTTAAATTAGAGAGATTAGCTGCCTTTTATATTTTGTTATTATTCATTTCCTTTTCTACTGCATTCTGTTTTTATTCTTTTCCTTACCAGTAAGTTCTGTAATATGTATTTATAACCCTCTTTTCATCAATAAAATCAAGTCATCTCATATATTTTCATGGTATCAGAGTCATACAAATCTTCTTCGGTATGACGACTTCTTTATCTTCCTCCCAAGAAATATCCTCCACCTCATCTGTCCCTGTTCCAACCGGAATCGATGACACTTCCTTCCTCATCATTAGCCACAAACTCAAAGGCCAGAACTACCTCCAGTGGTCCCAATCAGTCATGATATTTATCTGCAGCAGAGGCAATGATGACTATATCACCGGTAATGTCGTCGCTTCGGCCAAGGATGACCCAAAATTCCGGACACGGAATGCGGAAAACCACATGGTCATGTCGTGGTTAATCAATTCCATGACCAACGACATCGGCGAAAATTTTCTTCTCTACGGCACAACCATGAGTATTTGGGATGCTGCTCGAGAGACATACTCTCATTCAGATAGCTCATCCAAGCTCTTCGAAATCCAAGCTCTTTGAGATCGAGTCAATCCTTCACGATCTTCTCCAAGGTGATCAATCTGTGACTCGGTATTTTAATGCCCTCTCACATTACTGGCAGCAGTTGACATGTATGAAGTTCATGCCTGGTCATGCACTCCGGACTCCAACTTATACCGTCACATCATCGAGCAAAAAAGGATATTCAAATTCCTTCTCAGCCTCAACAACTCTGTTGATCATGTCTGCTTTTTGGTATTAGGCTTCAAACCACTACCGAGCATTCGCAAGGCCTTCTCCGAGGTTCGCCGCGAAGAAATCCGTCATAAAGTCATGCTTGCGCCTACCTCCACCTTGCCCAATCTCTCTGTTGACGCCTCCGCCCTTGCAGTTCGGGTTCCTCCTCCTCGACACAACGACAACCCATCATGCAAGGGTCGTCCCTAGTGAGACCACTACCGCAAACCAGACCATAAGAAAGACACGTGTTGGGTGCTTCATGGAAAGCCAACCGATTGGAAGCCTCCATCTAATGGCGCTCCCTGTGCCAACAGAGTCGTCGCTGCCGATGACCTTCCTGCACCAGCGTCAAGTCCATTCAACAAAGAGTAACTAAATTTGCTGCACAAACTGATCGGCAAACCACCTGATCTGACTGTTCCCGACCCCATCACCGGCCTCCTTGCGCATCAGGGTACGTTCTACTATGCCTTCACAGTCAATCAAGGATCCCTCAGTTAGTGGATCATCGATTTCGGTGCTTCTCATCACATGATTAGCGATGTCTCCCTTCTTTCCCTTCGTCATGACTATATGTCGTGCGAAGACAACTCCACCATCCGCGTTACTAATGGCTTTGTCTCCAAAGTCACTGGCTTTGGCTCCATGCGCATCACCCAAAACATTCTACTCCGATTTGTGCTTCATGCTCCTTCTTTAAATTGCAATTTAATATCCATTGGAAAGTTGACTACTGATCTGAGGTGTATTGCTAAATTTTTCCCTACTATTTTTGAATTTCAGGATGCGGACTCGGGGATGACGATTGACAATACTGAGTTGTGCTCGGGCCTCTACGTCATCAATTGTATTTCACAACCACAACCCCGTTGCGGACATTTGTCTACCC